TTGCCCCCTGACTAATTTAAAAGAAGCCTTTTCTAACAATAATTCTTTGAATGTTTTAAATAAATTTTAAATAATTTTTGATTTGGCATGCATTTACAATCTGTAAGGTATTTGCTTGAAAATGGATTTATTGAAAGTTTACAAACTCTTTATTCAGAATTGTCAGTAAAGATTAATCTCTATCATAAGTCAGATTTTTATCAGTTGTTGACTGTTCATAAGTCAATAAAGAGTAGAGCACGACATTCCTCAGGAGTCAAGAACAACTAGGCGGTGAAGTAAGATTTACTTTATTTATCCCAACAAGTAAAATAAAAAATTACATTTAAAATTTGTAAACATATTATCCCTGCGTTCGTTCATTTAGGGATGTAAATTTATATAGTAATAATATTATAAAATACATTTTTTGCCTTGATCTAATTGGTTCAACTTTTTACCAAACTGATTTATTGTAAATAAATGATTAAATCCAAGTTTATTTTCCATTGAGCTTATTGTAGATTTTTTTTTACTTTAAAAATTTTTAATTGCCCTTTTTAAAGATCTGATCAGATCTGTTTAAGCTCTGATCAGTTACAGTGATCAGTTACAGTGATCAGTTACAGTGATCAGTTACAGTGATCAGTTACAGTGATCAGTTACAGTGATCAGTTACAGTGATCAGTTACAGTGATCAGTTACAGCTCTGATCAGTTACAGCTCTGTTACAGATCTGATCAGATCTGATTCAGCTGAATCAACTGACAATTGCTTATTTAGCTCATTTTGGATTTATCTGTGTGGTGATAATAGTCTGGCAATGGGTTTAAAAATACTGACAGCAATTGATTTATATTTAAATGCCTCTTTTTACAGTAATCATCCATTGTTTGTAAGCTTGTGCTCAATGTATCCAAATGAGTTTTTATCAATTGATAATTTGTTAGCAGTGTCTGTATCCACACATTTTATAGACTCAGGAAAATTAAAAAACGACCTTGTTAAGGAAGAAACATTTCATATGTGTAAAGAATTTTTATGGTCTGTGTTTCTTTGTGTTCTTGCTCTTTTAACTGTCTGTTCTACAAGACTTAAGTGTTACTATAGAACAGTTTTTTCTTAAAATATAAAATTATGTTTAATCTTAATATTGAACCTTATTCTATGTTCATCATCAGATATTGTTAATTTGTTGATTCATTCGAAGGCTTCTACTTTGAAAGATTTACAAATATAAAATTTGATTCAAAATGTTTTTGTTCCTGATGAAACTTCTTTTTTAAAAACAAATGGGCAATCTTTAAAAACTTTTATCATTAAAACAATTTTCATGGCTAAGATATTTACCTTCTGAAGATGGAGCATTTTGTTTGTGTTGCCTTTTGTTTAGATATAAATACCTTTCAAAAACTTCTAGATTTAAAAATTTGTTCTCAGTCATTCAAATATAGGCCAGATGCTGTAAGCACTTTTAATAGACATTACCATGGGAAAAACGGGAATAATTATGAATATCACTCAGCTGAAATATTTATGAACATCATCACGCAGTACAAATTCTACATTATAATGCCTGGACCATATTTTCCGCAGTTTTAAATACTATGAATAGAAATATTTAAAATATAGATATTTTAATAAAGAATGTGAAAAGGAGATAGCTTTAAATTGTAAAAAGTTGTTTTGTGAGAAAATCATTTTCTTAGGTCAACTTAATATAGCTTTCAGAGGTCATTGTGATGGTCATTGGCAAATATTCTTTAGTGGGTGGAGTAGGTAATTTTATTGAACTTTTAAACTACAGAATCAGAGGTGGGGATAAAATTCATGTACTTTATCTTAACAGCTGTGCAAAGAATGCATCTTATATTTCTAATTCCTCACAGAATGAATTAATAAGTTGTTGGGGAAAGGACATCCAGAATATTTTGGTTTCTGAAATAAAAGACAATCGAATTTTTTCAGTTATTGCTGATGAAGCTTCTGACTGCTCTAATCAGGAATAATTGTCTTTAATAATTAGGTTAATAGACAATTCCTATGATGTTAGGGAAGAATTTATGTGTTTTTTACATTGTAAATTAGATACTGAATAAAGGTTTTATATACACTGTATATACTAATCTTTATTCAGTATCTTTAAGATCTTCTTCAAATAGAAAGTTTGTATAATTTTTAAATTAAAAATTATAGTTATTTTATTTTTTACAGTTTTATTTTGTTTAAAAGGATTATTTATTTTATTTTAGTTGTTATTTTATTTTTTTCATGAAGTTTTATTATCTTTATAAATTTAAACATGTCTAATTTTTATTGTATTCTTTTTTTCTATATTTATCTTTAGTTTTACCTGTCAATTGTTAATCGAAACTGGTACCGTTATGTACTGTATCTTTGGTATTTTAATTAGGTGCATTATATTCATTGTCTATTATATACTTTTTCTCCTTTTTTTCAGCTCTACCTTGAGATTCTACCTTGTGTGGTTATTTGAGTTGAAATATGGTTTTAATTTAGTAAGCTTTCATTATTTGAAGTTTACTTTATTGATCATTATTCAACAGTTTAGAGAAAATAAACACATGCAAAACATTAAATGTAAGCATAACTTTGTTTACGAACATTAATATTACAATTGTTTAACATTATATAGCATATCTATCAATGAAATAAAATATTAAAATGGGTTTTTATGGTTAGTTATCATATTATTGCTTTTGTGTTATTGCATTTCTCATAGTATGATAGTCATACTAATCAATTACATTATAGTTTTTTTATAATTATGGTATTAATGTTATTGTAGTTGATTACTTTTACATAGTTTTTATTCTATTTGCAAGTCACCTAACTATGCAAACCTTGCCTATTTAATTAATGATTTGTTATACTCCATACAGGTGTATTATTTATATATGTTACAATTATACACAATAATGATGCCCACAAAGTATTTTAATACCACAGACAATATTTTATTTTTGTAGATATAATGGATCCTTGCAAGTTTTAATACTATATATCTATCTATCTATCTATCTATATATATATATATATATATATATATATATATATATATATATATATATATATATATATATATATATATATATATATATATATATATATATATATATATATATATATATATATATATATACATATATATATATATATATATATATATATATATATATATATATATATATATATATATATATATATATATATATATATATATATATATATATGTATATATATATATCTATCTATCTATCTATCTATATATATATATATATATATATATATATATATATATATATATATATATATATATATATATATATATATATATATATATATATATATATATATATATATATATATATATATATATATATATATATATATATATATATATATATATATATATATATATATATATATATATATCTATATATGTATATATATATATATACATATATATATATATATATATATATATATATATGTATATATATATATATAATATATATATATATATATATATATATATATATATATATATATATATATATATTAAATATGCAACCACATTTGAGCCGCTTTTTTGAAGGCTTTGCAAATAACTTATTTATCAAACAAATGGGGTAGGTGCTTTTTTTTTGTATTTCATCTTCATCCCCCCCTGTCCTTTCGTGGGGAGGGGGCAGTAAAATCCGCAACCGACTTTTTTGACTAACCTCTTTAAAAAGCTATACCCGCCCCTGGGTGTGCAAGATGAGTTGTATTTTAGTTTGATTAAAGTTACAAGTCATTTAGCTGTGAACTAGACATTATTGAAGTAGATAAAGATATGTTAAAATGAAAAAAAGTTCAAAAAATGAGTTTCTTTATTTTAGGGATACAATGTAGGTCATTGTCGCGGAGGTCTATTCTGTTTAAATACATGATTTTTGATAAAAAAATACAAACCTCCATCTTATGTCTACAAAAGATCACGCTCATAACCTAAATGTTCTAAATAGAAAGTTCCCGCAGCAATCTTTATCACATATGATGACTTTTAAAGTTATTTTCCATTTTCAATAGTAAAAAACAAACTGTATGAATTATTTTCATATATAATACTTAATTTTTTTGTTACTTATAAATCATAAGGTATATTCAGGGGTGGATCTAGGGTGTTGCCACTGATGCGCGTGCATCAGTCCTTTTGCACCGCGAAACTTTAGGTATCTTTTTTTTTCATAATAAAAAGTTAAAGTAGAAATTAGAATCTTATATTCTCAAAAAATGTAGAATTTGTTTTAAGCTGGAAAAAAAATTATTAGATTTGATTTGATCTCTATAATTACTTATTCGTTACTTAAACAAAATTTCCTTCGTTTTGGAGCAACTGATGCAATTGTTCTCCACTAAATACTATTGTGATTGGTTAAAGAAAAAATATTTTAGGTTTTAACCAATCGTATTTGTACATTTTTTTTTAGTTTTTTCTACCACTTTGTAGCAAGTGATGCAATTGTTCTCTGAATCATAAATGATTGGTTAAAAACAGTTTAAACCAATCTCTATTTATTAAAATAACATATGCATCAGTTGCTACAAATCTTCCGCAAAAAAATACAAAATTGTTTCAAATATGATTGGAGAATGTTTTTATTAACCAATCAATTTTGTAGAAAGTTTCGAACAATTGCATCAGTTGCTCCAATTCGCTCAAAATTTACAAAATTCTGATATCCCATACGATGTTCGTATTCTGATATAACTGATATAACGCTCGTAACTTTAGTCGAAGGACTTTGCTTGTAAATTAAAGTTTTGAAACAAATAAGAATTTTTTAGATTCAAATGCAATTTAAAGGCTAGGTATTTGCAAAGTATTTGCAAATGTAAAAATCAGTTAACTAAAGAGTTATAAATTTTAAATAACAAGTGTCCAGTGCAGCTATATACAGTCTTGAAAATTCTGAAATAGATTGTTTTACCCCGAAGCAAGGAGATAGTAAAGA